CTGCACGTGCCTGCAGATGATGATATGCAAACCTTTTCCAAATTCTGGTGAAAATGCCCCGTTCTGCCCCACGCCCTCCGCCCATCGCCTCCCCATACCTGGGTGTAATGTTTGGTTCAGCTCCACCATCCAGTCCTTCAGAGCAGCTGAGAGCGCCTCCTCTGGGCAGTACTGTCCCTCAGCATCTGCAAGTGTCCGGGGCTCGATCACAGAGGACAGCACTGAAGCCATCGTAGGCTTATACACAGCGACAAAGTCGCGACCCCCCACCCGCAAAGAATGACTCTCAGTTACCAAACAAGCTAATTCACACATTAAACATGCATAATCAGCCATGAAGGCATGTGAAGGTGTAGTCATGCGTGTATGTTCTGCACCCTGTGTGCGGCCCCGTCCCCCACCCTAAACTCACCCTTCTGGTGCCCTGCCCGGTGCCACGCCCCCAGGGTGTGCAAGGGGATGTAGTCGGCCTCAAACTCGCAGTTTGGATTGAGCAGCAATCCCCTCAGGTGCTTCCGTAGCCCAGGGGCTCGGCCCTTGAAGGGGCCCAGGAAGACCCGCCTTGAGTCGTAGTCGTTGGCGTGGAGGTTGTCCCAAACCAGAGGGGGGCGCTGTAGCACCATTTGCACTTCCTCCAGGGAGTCTGCGCTGAGCTCACGGGATATCACCTTGCTTCCTGCATGACAAACACCGACAACAGGTCACCGGGAAGCACCTCGACCGGGAAACACCTTGACCGCTTGACCCTGGGATTGGAAGCTGGCGAACGTTATGCTCTGATAGCGACATGGAGCTCATGCACTACAGACACCAGCAGGGGGCTAAATATACACTCTCTGTCTGTTTACTTTGAGCTCCAACCAAAAGGGAAACTTGCCTAGATAATGAAAGACTAAATAAAAGTTGTAATAGTAATAATAACAATAATAATAATAATAGTGCCTTTCACAAACCCTAGGTAGCTTTACAAGATAAAAAAAGTTTTTTTCCATTGATTGTAATGCAGCTACATTTCATCTGAATAAGTCATTTTGGCTAAATATACACTGGAATTACATCTTCGAAATAAATCCTGTCTTGGACGTGTGATCAGAAAGCCCAGGCTAACGTAAGTTGTGTAGCGTGTGGCTACGCTGCTGACTGGATGTCGCTTCAGCTTTCCTGCCAGACAGTCCAGAAAGGTCACGCTGTAGACTGTCAGTGATTGGTGACTTATTATTACTCATTAGAGCTGAATCCGTATGACACTGACAAGCAGTGACAGGCACCATGATTCCCATTACTTGGTTTATAGTGACCAAACTAAGGCCCTGAATGAGTCTCCTGGCCCTGAGCCCCGCCCATCCTCAGAAGTGGGCCGGCAGGAGGGCGCCGGACCCGATCCGATCTGCGGCTCACCAGTCCAGATGACGGATATCCCAGGCAGTAGGTCCTCCCCCACTGTCAGCAGGTAGGGGGATTTGGCCACGTTTGGTGAGCAGAGAGAGCCACAGTATTCTGGAAATCACACATCAAAAACCTTTATCTCACAGTATCAGTGAGTTTGCATAATGGAACAAACTGTTTAACGTTGGCCAATCATTCTGAGTAATAGTTTACAATTAACTAAACATATTACTATGTGCCACAAACAATTTAAGCACAAGTATCCCATCCAGGCAGCTCCTGCCCTCTGCTTCCTGGAACAGCCTCCTGAGACCTTGTACTGAATAACATAGGTGGGAAGTTCCGGTCCAGAAAGCAAAAGTCCAGACCAAAGGTTTTGTTTCAACCAGACAGCTGGGCATAAAGAGTCACAGTCAAAGTGGACTCAACTGGCTGGTTGAAACGAAACCTTGGTCTGAATTTATACTTTCTGGACCTGAACTTTCCACCTCTGCTGAATAAGGAGATACAGAAAAGGGTGAACTGTCCTACTGAAATTAATTTGCAAGTTCTTCACATCTCTCTCTCTCTCCATCTTTTTCTCAGGATGCCAGCGTGTCGCTTAATGGTTGAGATTTAGGCTTCCTTTAATTGTTGGGCCTGCTGTCTTGTGCTTTGCCCCCTGTCCTGCCTATCATGCCTCATTCCTGGTTGGTTGATGCTCTCCTGCACCTTAAACACTGTTCTTCACCTTTTAGCACCAAGAGTTCATAGAAAATGGAGAGTCAGTTAAGGGAAAGGTGGGGGAGTGTCTTTTTAAATGTGCTAAAGGAAGGTTGTTTTAAAAACTGATTGAAAGACCAGGAATTGGATGACAGGTCCAGTAACATGCAGTCAGACTAAATGGCATCTGTAAATTGTCCGTAGTGTTTGTGTGTCCTGTCCAGGGTGGTCCTGCTGTATGGGATAAATTCCAGAGCCCCCAGTACAGAATAAGATCAAAAGGGAAATCAATATTTATGTGCCACTATGAAATGTGTTGTTACTATGTGATGAGTTCATAAATTAACAAAACATATAGACTAAAGAAGGTGACATCAAAAGGTTAGAAAAAAAGGATGCAGAATCTGATCAATGTAAATGTGACATGGGTTATTTTTTATAGGCGGGAGGCTGCCTGCCTCACCAAGCATGCATCTCCATGGAGACCCTCACCTGTGGGACAAAAAAGGAAGACAGATGGTTCCCCTAGGAAACGGAAGATCTCATTGGTCACGGTAACCTGGGCATGGGCGAATGAGGAAAAGGTCTCACTGTCCGCCTGGCACAGGGAATGGTCGATATCGTCGAAGAGAATGGCGAAGGCCTGGCATCCCAAGTCTGCCACCTAGTGAAGATCAGAGAGAACAGGCTGGGAGGGACGTAACTAAAGTCTCAACACAAAGCCATGAAGAAAAGACAAAGTGTGTCTGGGCAGCAGGCCGTCACAGGTTCAGCGTTTGTGGGTGGGGCTAACGCTACCTGCTTGAGTTTTCGCTTCAGCAGGCCGATATCACAGGAACTTGAGAAGACGATATCCTGCCCAGGCGAAAGGGCATAAACGAATCGCAGGCCGCGCGACTCTGACTCTGACACCAGAGTCTTCAACTGAGCTGCAAAAAACAAGGGGCAGAATGGAATAAGGCGTGTCAAGTATGGCGAGTGATGGAGGAAAGTAGCGGGAGCTACAGGAGAAACGGCCGGTAGGTCAGCTACACGGGGTCTTCATCCCATACCTTCCTCCTCCTGAGAGTACACCTCCCTCCAGAGCAGCCGGTGTTTCAGGTCGTCTTTGGGGCCATAAAGGTAGGTGTTCAAGCCCCACTTCTCCATCCTATCAAGGGAGTCCAAGGTCACATGGTCAGCTGCAGAAATTACGGGCCACTGTGAAGTCATTCCCTAACCTCACTTAGGCCAGGCGTAGAGAACCCTGATCCTGGAGGGCCGGGACTCAGCAGGTTTTCCAGCCTACCGAGTAACTCATCAGGTAGGATAGAAAACTTGCTGGAATCCAGCACTTCAAGATCAGGGCTGTCCACACCTGACCTACATACCAGATATTTCATCTAATCAGATGTAAAAACAATTGTACAACAAATCGAGCTAAACTGTCTGTCCATAGCTGTCAAGTCTCCCGTTTTGGCCGGGAAACTACCGTATTTTACCCCTCTTTCCCGCCGTCCTTCCATATTAGTATTTTCCCGTAAATCTCCCGTATTATAATATCATTTAAAAAAATTCCTCTGCCTCTCCAAACTGAACTGTCAGTAGCCTCGCGAGACCTGCCACCTGCAGTAGTCTGCAGGTCATTTACAACATTATCCAGGTCATAAATGCGGAGGTTAAAATGGCAATGCTGTGCGCCAAAAGCAACGTTACTTTCACCTTCTGTGACGACTTCAACAAAGATACAAAGTCTGCAACAAATCTGTATAATAAGTCATTAGTGAATGCCAGAGAACCACATGAGTGAACATGAGAAATTACAAGAAAATGAGTAATGAAAATAAAATGTAAATGACAAGTGATTATTTTAGATTTCTTGTACACCTGTTTTAAAATGTAAGGGATACTGGAGCTTGGCTGGGGTGGTGGGGTGGCTCGCGGTGGGTGCCGGAAAATTTCCCTTATTTTCAAATCCAAAACTTGACAGGTATGTGTCTGTCTCATTATTTATTTAAATATATCTTTTTAATGGTAATTTTATATATAAATAGTCATTCATCTTTGTTGTAATTATAATGATAATTATGTGTCTTACTGTGAAGTGACAGTGAGGAAAAACTGGCTAAATATCAGGCGGGTTTGAGAGCCGCTCTGACTGCAGAGACACGTGGGAGAGGGAGATCAATCGCTGACATGGCAGGACTTCCTGTGATTGATGAGCGCCGGCTGTGGGCCGGATCGATGGCGCTGTGGCGGGGACGTGTGGGTGGAGCACCTGGTGCGGGGCTTGTTTTTCATGCAGGGAATGTACCTAGACTGCATTGTTGCACATCACACCGACCAAAAGGCACTGACCCAGAACAGATGGTGCTGAGGAACCAGGATGGGGTGTTCAAACACCTCCTGTGCTAATTCCTGTCCTTAGCAAATAGATTTGTCCAAAGGATAAACAATTAACGACTTTGTGCCGAATTATACGGCCGTATGCAGAATACAGCAGGTCGCTTAAAGGCCAATAGCCATCGCATCAAATCACAGCCACAAGACGGTGTGTGGGAACGATGTGGAAGAACCTCGCCGGATCACTGACGAGGGCAGCCAAAATCTTACTGCTGTAGCAACAAGAAGTCACAAAGTGTTTCGGAGATTGATGGGAACTCTGCAAAGCTCAGCAAAAATATTCGGTCGTAAACGTTTCCCAGAAAAATGACAAATAGCAACGTTAAACATAGCAGCCTGAGCAAAGTATTTGAGGGATCTCTGCAAATTCTGCCGACTTCCCCTTGACTACTAAAACAAATACATGAAACACATGCTTATGTACAAATTAGCTACAGAAGAACATGACTGTGAGTGTGACGCGTGGAATGGGCTGCAATAGCACACTCAGTATTACATATCGGGCACATGTTTATGGTGGTCTTAATAAAACATGAGACATTATCCAGGAAAGACCACCCTCAGCACACTGTGTAACCTCTGCATTAGAAGATGGCCCGGGGCCCGGGGCCCGGCCCTAGAGGCCCCTGGGCTGGAAAGAATGGTTCCAATTTTGTGGTCGCAGGCTTCAGCTTGGGTAAGTCTGTGTATTACAGACCCAACTGCCTGGCCCATCTCAGTGCTTCCTACTCTGTGAGCTTCTGCTCACTGCCCCCCCTCCCCCCCCCCNATTTCGCAGTACTGTAACTTGATGGGGTAACCTGTTTCCATTGGATGAATTAGCTGGCTATATTACTGTGCGTTCTGCCAGGTAGTAAAGGGATTAATTCTTTCCTCCATATCTGCTACATGAGTCTATAGAGGAACTAAGTGATTGACAGCTTCTGCATGTGAAGTGGCTTGTGCTGCTCATTGCCCCCCCCCCCCCCCCCTGACCCCTGCCTCACTTTTTCTGGAGGTGGCAACAGTTTGCTCTCATCTCTCTTCCTGCACAGATGGCAGCAGAGTCATGGGGTCACACACCCACTCACACGCCTCTCACCTGCGCCCCCCCCCAGCCCCCCCGGCCCCTCTGTACCTGAGATCGGGACGCAAAAACACAACATGCAAAGCAAACATCGTATGAACAATACCTTAAAACACGCAGTTATGAACAGAAGTAAAAATGTGTCAGCTTGCCTTTCTCCTATAAGATGGCAAAGTACAATAGTTTTTATTAATCTCCAGTATAAATCCAAGTGTGGTTTTTGTTCCACGGGTCATTGAAGCCATGAGTGGTGCCCAGTGCTGAAGAGGGCCATCCTAACCTTATCCTAACCTTATCCTAACCTTATCCTAACCGCACGCTGCAGGTGTGTGGGCCTGAGGCCGGACCCTCTTCTGTCGCTCTCTGAGAACTGAAACACCAGTGTGCTGGATGGCCACGCCCATTTGGTGTCCCTCTAAACGTGCCGGACTCTACAGGGGGCCCCGCACCGGGCCCTCGCACCGCGCCCCTGCACCGCGCCGGCTCGCAGCCCCCATGTCTCAGGTGCCTGCTTTGCTCAGCTACGCTTGGGCGCTTTATTTATACATGTGCCAGTCACTTTCACACAGAGCTGGATATTTTAAGCTCCTGCTTTCATTATCTTGGTACTTCCAGTTTCCACTGTCATTCACTTAGAATTTTAGTTTAGTTCTTGCCTTATACAATAAGTCTTCTCCTCCGCTGCATTCCTACGCCAACATTTAGCGCAGTAATGAGGTCTTGGGAGAATGCCTTGGCTTACAGCAGGCCGCACATTGATCATTTAAGAGCTGGCCGACTCTGGCAGCTCTGCCAGTTCCTCCTCCCCTGTACATTCCCCGTTTTTACCCTGGCACTCCACTCTCTACTCCCCGAACAATCTGGAAATGACAGGAGGCATCAGATTCAGAGGATCCCCTCTGGGGGTGGTATGTTTCATTTTAGAAGATATGTGATACGGATAAAGCAAAAAAAAAAATACATTAACCACCCCTCCCAAGGTGGCTCTGAAACCCTGGGTGCGTGGCGACACCCGGTGGCAGGTTCAGGTATTGCAGAAACAATCAGACCTATCAGGATGTTTTTTTTTTTTTTTTGCTTTTTTTAAAACAGAATAATAAACAATGCAGAGTTGAGACTATTTGCAAGGTACAGCTGCTGCTGTTTCCTTACATTAAATATGACTGCAAATACAGGAACATAAATCTGATATAAATATTTAAGGTTGACGGTCCTCTGTGGAAGAGCCTTTCTGTACTGGTTGTTATGGAAACAGGCTGTCGTACTCTGCTGATTGAACGGTACGGGTGATTATGGCACAATTCTGCAACACGACTTCTAGCTACGGTGGGAAAAAATTATCTGCGGACTTTCCTGCTCCTCTGTGCATCTCAGTAATTTGTTCAGTAAATCTGTGCTATTCAGTGAAGGTGAGCTGTGACCCAGCAGGCAATCCCAGGGATCTCAGCTGCCTTCTCCAAAGAGCCATGCATCTTACCACTCCTCGATGTTCCAGAACGTAAATAAACCCACTCGGGCACAAAGCAACAACCCATGACAAGACCTGTTCGAACCAAAGCCGTATCCGGTGCATTGTGGATAAACTCACCACTGAAAAAGCACCTTCCTCTGCTCCATGGACCAGGGCCGGCCATAAAAGCCTGGGGAACCGGGAAACACCACCAGTTAATTGCAAAAGGCTAAATACACTCCAGATTTTTTTATAAACACATTCACAAATGCTTTGGGTACAGAGTCCATCGTTAGCTAGTGAGATGCAAGTCTGATGCTGAGAAGCAGACTGGTATTTCCCTGGGTGAAATCACGTGGCGTCGGGTGACAGCGCACCTATGGGCTCGCTCCAGTTAAAAGTGGAGTATGGGCCAAATGCTGCCAACAGACAGGTGGCGAGAGTGTGGGGGGGGTTACAGTCTCAGTCAGCTCTGTGGGGGTCAGCACAAGACAATCGAGTGGGCTGGAGCACTGTGACTCTTACATGGGGTCCAGAATGGGGAAATACCAGACAATCTGGTATCCTACAACCTGAATTATATCACTAAAACACCTACTGCCATAAATGTGTAAAGACTGTATGTACAACTCTAAAGTACTGTAAGGTCTCTCTTCAGTAAAAGAGAGTAATGTACGGCTCTTATAGCTGTTTGTACGGCCTGTGTATAAGGATGCTTCTGCAAGCTTCCGGATCTTGTTCTGAGGTCGAAATGATTCCCCCCGGGGGCAGGTGAGTATGGTAAACGAGACTAGACAGGCTGTTCTCCAAATATTATATTTAGAAAGGAACGATTAAGCCATCTACAATGTTAAAACGGATGCTAAACTGCCGCCTCTTTAAAGGTTAACTTTTATTTCTTAATATATCAACATTTAGTAAAAGTGTCAAAGCAAACAATTAAAATAAATGTCAGTTTTGCGCTAGAATCGTGGTTTTCCCCTCAGCTTTAATGTTAATTTTCCTTAGTAGCTCTGACCAGACATTCGATTCCCGAGGGGATGATGAATTCCGACATGACGCCTTGATTTCTGTCCCGTGTTTCTGTATTTTGACTTATTTCGCTTCCCGTACTGCAGCCAAAACTTCACTCACTAGCCAGACTGCTGGAGGTAAGGTGTGTAAGAAGAAATCCGCAAGTAACTTGATATATTAATGCATTTTCACGGGAACTTTACGAATGAATATGCAAGAATATTACTAGTAGTGATAAGCCATTTTGATGCATGATCACATAAAATAACTTTTTAATCACATTTATTAGTTTATTTTGTATTAATCTGAAGTAGTAACAACGTCGATAAATGAACATTTTTAAGATTGCAACCATAAATACGTACGTTAGCTAATAAACTGAACATTCAGATACCTGACAGGGCGCCCCCCACATCTCTGATTCTGATTTAATCCCTGGATGAAAATGTATGCAACCATCTACTGTCTGTTTATTCAGTGCACAAACCAAAAATAAGCAGTATATTGCATGATGCATTCGATAATAAAGCATAATATCACCCCACCTTCCACAACCCCACAAAGGAACTCGCGTTTCTCCTCCATGGCCGATGCTATTGCTTCTCCAGTCCGACTCGATCTGGTTGAACAGGCAACACACGCTGGTGGCCGTCTGCTCTTCAAACGCTGGATACGGGGACCATGCTTCACACGCACCTGAACGCCGACGCACGGACCATCCTCATGCCGCAAGGCGCAGTCGGAGGACAGTCGCCTCCCTTCAGCTTTCTTTACTTTACGGCTGAATTTTTTATTTTTATTTTTGCGGGCAAGTCAGATGTTGCAGATCGGAGACGTTCTGCTGTGGCACACAAATTACTATTAGGGAAAACGCAGAAGCAGTACATACAACACCGAGCGATCGCTTCGGGGCAAGCCCACCTCTCTCAGCCGCTCGGGACCTGCACGATTGCCTCGGGTCTCTGCAGCCCCTGGCGGTGGCAGTCAGAATTGCAGCTCAGTGATTAATCATGGCGAAGGTAAGAAATGTGCGTTTGATCCTCTCGATTTTTACTGTTATTCAGTAGGGAATACAGAAGCATTATCTGTTACACATTTTAATGCACAATCTGCCGACGGTTCCAAAGGTCGGAATACATTGATGACATACACACTGTAGTAAAGGGCTTGGTCGAATCTTTATTCTCAGAATTATTGTCATGGATTGTGTCGTTTATTTTGATGCTCGCTTTAATGCTCCTTGCAGGATCCCTGGTTAGATCATACCGGTCATGTCTGCCAGGGATGTAATGGAAATAATGGCCTCCCAGTAGAATATTGTTGTTGGGTTGTCATGGCAACACAAGCCAGAGAAGATCCGACACGGAAAGGGGGTAAGTCGCATTAGAAAACCAGTACTCGTTAGCAGAGACCATAGAATTACATTACATTAGGTCAATAAACGATGCTTGTTGGATGCCTTGTCTTTCTGCAATGCAAGGCGTAGTTTCTTGTTTTCAAGCTTGGTTATTTGTTTGAAAAAGTAGCCACCGTCCAACTGTGTTCTTGGTAATGGTGAGAGGTCGTGATGATGCTGCTTATTTAGCTGACTGAGCTGCATAATCTCGGGCTTTGTACATAATTCATTATGATTAAATGCCAAATGCAAAACAATGAATATTTAATTATATAGTATATTTAATACAGTGGTTAGCACTGTTGCCTCACACCTCTGAGACCCGGGTTCGAGTCTCCGCCTGGGTTACATGTGTGTGGACTCCCCATGTCGTCGTGGGGTTTTCTCTGGGTACTCCAGTTTCCCCCCATAGTCCAAAGACATGCTGGGGCTAATTGGAGTTACTATATTGCCCATAGGTGTGAATGGTGTGTGATAGAGCTGGGCGATATGGCCTAAAAATAAAATCTCTGATTTTTTTCATAATAAATCCGATTTTCGATTTTAATCGATTTTCCCCTCCCCTACTCAAAATCAAACTACAGATGACAAATAAATGGTTCAAAACAAGTTTTAACTTTATTTTTTTTTTTTACTTTAGAGCATTGGCGGAGCGGGGGGGTGGCTTACTGGGCTTAAGCCCGGGTTGTTGTTTCAGAAGCCCAGGGTCTTTTGGAGTGTAATTTATTTCATAGTTAGATGCCTGACTGACATCTGTATAAAACAAAAACTACACACAATATTCGAAGCACATAGCGCACAGTCGTAAATTCCCCATAATTTTGGTATGATCCGAGCTCAGGCACTAGGCGACTGAGCACAGCACTTACGCATGTGAGCGAGGGGGGAGAAGCTGCTGCCTGCGAATTTGCTGTAGGAGAAGTGCAGACAGGCAGACAGAGGAGAGCTTAAGTTTGACCAGGTACCAAAGCAAATCATTCGTACTGTACAAATAGCTAATGTAAATATGACGCTGACAAAAGATTGATATCAAACTGATCACTTGACCCATATTACGTTACTTGCTCTTCGAGTGAATCAAGAAATGGCGAAATGAAAAGCCGAACAACAATGCTGTTTTTTTAGAGAGTCTTAGGTTACATGTGTGTTTATTTCATATTTTCAGTTGTTACCCTCCACGGCTAAATAAAGCACTCTAAATCGGTTTCAGTTATGTACTGGTGTACACAACAATGGACATAAGGGGCTTCTTTCACAGAAAAAACTCAGGTAAATGTTATTTTATATATTATGCTTTGTATGTTGTTCAATATATTTCTATGCAAAAAAAGAGGAATTTCAATACACAGCAGTATATTCACAGTTGAAACCAAATATTTACATACACTTTAGGGAAAAAACATAAAAACATTTTTTTTACTGTTAAACATCAATTTAGAGTAAACTTTTTTGTTTTATATAAATAAATATTGAAATATCTTTTGAATTAGTTAAATGTCAGAATAAACAGAGAGAGAGAGATGTCTATTTTTTATCACTTTCATCAAATTTAGGAGTATATATACACTAAGTTTATTGTGTCTTTAATTAATAAGAAAACTCCAGACGATTCCATTCTGAGCTTAAGAAGCTTCTGATAGGTTAGTAGAGTCACAGCCTAATAAATCTTCAACTTCACAGCATGTTTTTCAGTCATTTCTAACCCCGACCCCCCCCCCCCAATCCCACATGCATACTACCCTTTGGGGCTGTATATTTTATACCCCGGGTGTATAAAATGTCTGACTCCGCCTCTGCTTTACAGTAAAAGTGCAATCTGACAAGCCAAAAAAGATGCTTGTAAGTGAGATGGTAGACCACGTCTTTGTAAACACTTTTAGAAACTTGTAAAAACTTTTAGCATGTTAATGAATCACGGATTTTCCACAGTATGCAAGACCATGTCCAACCTTAGACTGGGGACCGTAACAGAATATACATCGCGACAGCGTTTGTTATCGCCTTCCACCGTGCCCCATTCTTATCATATGGCACACAGTTCGAAAACGTGTCAGGGACGGTTGCTTGCTTAACTTTGGATGTTGTGCTGGTGCTACGGGTATTCATTTCGCTGGGAGCTGCATTTCTCCCACTCCGCTGTGTGTCTCTGCTTTAGGTGCAGGAATAAATTTGTCGTGCTGCTTCCTTTGGTTGCAACAGTTTCTAAACAGACTTTGCAACGAGGACTTGTTTGGTCTGTGTCCGACGGCGCAAAACCGAACCATTGCTATGATGTTTGTGAATCGGCTACCGTGTTTGTGTGCGCCGCGCTAGTTTACCCGTGAAGAACGGTGCGTCGCATTAGTTCTGCTTTTGGCGCTCGCGTGTAAAATAATAATAATAAAGTAATAAAATCGATTTTCATAAAAACACATCGTCCTGAACTGTAAATTCGAATTAATCGATGAAATCGATTTATCGCCCACCTCTAGTGTGTGAGTGAATGGTGTTTGAGTGTGCCCTGTGATGGGCTGGCCCCCCATCCTGGGGTGTTCCCCACCTCGTGCCATCGGCTCTGGACCCCCCGCAACCCAAAAAGCATAAGCGGTTTGGAAAATGGATGGATTACATTATAGTTCTGTTTGCACATGTTGTGTATAGAACAATGCAATTGTTTCATGTTTCACAACCAGAGGTCAACACCATGACAAATGCTGATTTTCTTCAAAATGCAATTTTTACCACAAACATGGTGTTTAAAACTGTATCTTAAATATTTTTTTCCTCAATCAAAACATTGTCACAGTCAAATGCCAAGTGTACATACAAGTCGTCAATCCCTGATTACAACTGCTATGCCAAACTGATGTACCATAATATATACGGTTAATGTACAGTAACTGATCACAGAGGCACAGTCTTCTGGAATATCTGTGCCTCTGAGCTTAGTTACTAACCTGTGAATGTTTTGATGCAGCTCTCGCTTTTGATCTGTCCATCATGCATTAGTAATGGTGCAACTGAAAGTGTCTTTTTGCAAAAAATAACATCAATGTATACAGTGCAGCTGGTTTTGTTTCAAGCTAATATAATGACCAGGTTCTCTAGTTATGAACCATCTAAATCTACAGTCTTTAATGCTTTGACCATCATTCCCAATGTGATACTGTATTTTACTCTTGCTTAGGTTTGGTCTGGTCTATTGTGTTAATTTTCCACTTGACAAAGTGATGGTTCAGCATGTCATTTTATTCCTAAATATTAATTTGATGCCATGATGGACTGGCATCCCATCCTGAGCGCCCGGTAACAGGCTCCAGGCCTGTAGCTTTAAATTGAACCGTGACCCTGAACCGAAAAAGGAGGTGGGAAGATGGAGGGATATTCATTTGACTTTATTCATGGAGGAAACTATTAAAGAAAAGACTCACATAATTTAAGGTAATTTTAAGCCAATGGGTCAAGGTCAAGTTTACTTATAGCATATCTAATATCAACCAAAGTCTTTCCAAAGTCCTGTAGAGCGTTAGAAAGTGAATAAAATAAGGAAAATAAATAGATAAATATTTAAATATACAGCTCTGGAAAAAATTGAGAGACACTATATTTTTAAACAAATCTGCATTTTTAAATCCTGGTTTAATCCTGGTTCAGCTGGCAGAAGGCTACACTGAGCAGCAGGATGCTTCCAGGTTCAGAATGTCTAAGACAGCAGTACACAAGAATAAGGTGAAGCAGGAGACACTGGGAATGACCAGAAACCAGCCAGGTAGAGGGAGGAAGCAACTTTGTAATGCCAGAGATGACTGTTTACTTATCCGGCAGTTTCTCATGAATCTTAGGGTGGAATCAAATGGCCGTCAAAAGGAATGGGAAACATTAAGTGCAAGTATGAAGTGCAGGATTCCATTAATGAGGAACAGAGATAAACCAGGCTGCAGTTTGCAAATCAATAAATAAATTTTATATATATATATATATATATATAATTTATTTATTTATTCACAGATGCGCACACAAAGAATGAGAAATTAGCTGTATTGTACTGTATTGTAGCAGATGCAGATGCACTGTGTCCATTTATTTGGATACCGTGGATGGGTCAGCTTGCAGTCAGGGTTTTGTCTTGTCAGTGAGAATGTGACTGGCTGCTGCTTCTTCCATACAATGGCACCCTGATACAATCGCTGATACCCCCCAAAAAATAAGTGACTACAAAGTGAAAATGTATAACCATGAAAGAAGAAACCAACGTATATCAGTATGCAATCCCATAATTCTCTTATTGTCACATGTCTCATATTGATATACTACGACAGCATAATAGAATTCTTGAAATTCAGTTATGGCTTCTGGGACGGTGCCACCCCAGGACTTTCAGTGGCCCTCTCTGGACACACACTCCCCACAGGGTCACCGACTCCCAGCGAGGATCTCAGCAATGAGTAAAGGACAGGCGGCCGGGGACCTTCCCACCGGGGCAGGTTCTGCAGGAGGGGCGGTGCAGGCTGGATCGGATCAGGACGGCTTCCAGCAGCGACAGTACGTCCTGGACTTACCTTCACTCGGCACCATAAGCATGTTACCCTGGGAAACGCTTTCTGATCTATGAACCGTGCTACAGGGGCAGATCTATGGGGGGCAGCTGCTCCCCCTACTGTATGTCTCGTCCATTAAGTTCACACATGTGGAGACTGAGCTGCGTTCATCACCACGTGAGAGCTGAATGACTTCAGAGGGCTTTGTGATCCACAGCTATGATACGCTGACTGACACGTGGAACCAGCTGAAGAGGAGAGCAGAGATGCTGTATCCTTTACAAACAGGCACACACACACACACACAGACACACACAGACACACACACACACGCCACAGAGATAGGCGCACAGCACCATCACTTGGTTCTTGTAGATTAAAGCATAAATTTTACTGAATGGAATCCAGATGGTCAGCTTCAAACCCAAGGTGCTGTTTACCACCCCGCTCTGCATTAGCATTAGCTGACAGAGCAGTAACTTGTGGTACTTTATTCCTATTAATCTCCACAGAAGCCTTAACATCCCTGTAAAACAGCAGACGTGAGAACGAGTGGCTGAAAAAAGAGACTGAACAAACGACCACGGAGAGTGTGAGTCACGGGCAATTACTGGGGTTATTTTCATCTGCCTCAGTGTTGTGTTGGGTAGAGGGTTATGAGGTGGTTGTATGACATGCAAGGTTTAGACCCTGCAAAGAGACCTCCTGATGTACCCTTGAGGTACAATATTAGGAGCATGAACTGGCAGGCAGAATATGTATTTTTAAATATTGTCACTTTAGCGAAAAGCGTCAACTTAGCAGCTAATGTAAAAGGAACATCTTTGCGGAGCAGGTCTCATTGCCCACACACTGACCCACAGCAAGAGTATGTGAGCTTCGTGTCCAGAAAGACAGAGATACTTCAAAGTGCCATCGAGGCCCTAAAGGAGCAGAACCGGCAGGAGGTGGAGAGGCTGAGGAAGCAGAGGGAGGCGGAGCTGCAGAAGCACACAGAGAAGGTCAACGGTGCGGCTGCGAGAGCGCTTTGCTCAGAGTCACGTGGCAGGCTGGGGGGTGTTCCATGAAGCACTATTTCACAGTTAGCTAACTTAAGCTAAAAGTCATGATTATCCAATATGAGATTAGGTAAGGAGCATTCCTATTGAACAATCATGACTTAAGTTAGCCAAGCTAACTAAGAAATCCTGCTTTGTGGAACACCCTCCAGGCCTTAACACACGTTTGGTTCATATTCTGTAAGCTTGCTAGTTATTTGTGGCATAGTCTTGAAAATATAATTTATCCAGCTCAGTGATTCTCAGCTGGTATATCCTCAAGATCCTTGGTCATTAAGTCATAAACCCAAAACCGTTGTCGAATGGGGGGGTTAATCTCACACTCTGTGCTTCTGGTGACACCCACCAGTTGAGAAATACTGATCTAGATCATTTGAGCTCAATTTAGAATATGAAAAAAGGTCACCTAAGTCCTATATTCCTTTTTTGACTGTGATTGGTGCTCCTCACTTAGCTCTGTGAATGTTTCAGAGTTAAAGAGGAGAATCCTGGAGAAGGAGTCTGAAATATGTCACCTGAAAGCTGAGATTGCAGAGCTCAGTGAGTTTAAGGTAGAGGAAATGCCGCACGCAAGGTCCACAGAGCCGGAATTGGTACCGACTCTAATATGCAACTGCTAGACACAGAAAGACTTTGGAGACTGAAACTTCAATTATATAGATGTAGAATTGGTTTGGTGTCACAAAATGCCCGAATATGACATACCACTGAGCCCCGCTGCATCTATCAGAACCAGCATCAGCAACAACAGCTTGGCCGCATTTCGGAGCTACAGGGACAGCTGGAGGCCATGTACGGCAGCCACGCCGTGGAGGTGCGTGTCCAGATGGCCGACTGCCGCAATAAGAAGGCAGAATATGAGAAGCAGGCCAGGCAGGCGGTGGAGGTCTTCACCCGCGCTGCCAATAGGGTGGGTACAGCTTCACGTGTGGGCGGAGCTCTCCTCACATGGCACAATCAGTCACACCTACCTGACGCTGTCATACTGGCACTCGCATGCCTGCAGTGGGATCAAACCCAGGGAAATCTGTAATGGGCCACTGATATAGGGACGGCCTACTGACGTAGCAAT